TTGGATCAACTGGTATTATGGTCTTCCTCAACTAAATCGCCTTATTCCTTTTATGGGACCTTCGTTCTCAATTCCGATGGGGAGAAAAGAGAACTATGTTTGATTTAGTGTGTTGGGGACCATAACCAAGAGGGTCTATATACATTAATAGGGTAGGCCACCCATTATCACCTAACCCTAGTAATATTAGGTATCCACTCAATACATCCATATCAATTTATGTAGCCCATGAACTCTACTTAATTTAGATCACTTAATTGAGTCCTTTAATTAATTGAATAACTAATATAATATAATTGTATATAATATGTTGCCCATAATTAGATTAGACATAGGAAATAAAATATTTCCTAACAATCTCCCACTTGGGCTGCATATTATTTCCAGAGCAATTATATTAATTTCTTGCGCAACTTTATGTTATTCATCTTCAGACTACCTTAAACAATCTGGTCCATCTCATATACTAGCAATGAAACTACCGCGGCTTTCACCACTTTACAAATCGTGGATAAACCCCGGAAGTCACCATACTGGTACACTCAATGACATAGATCAAATATGGTGAGTGGCATGGAAATTACACGCAATGTGATCTTTAACATGTCTATTTCCAACTGGTCAAACTTTAAATCCTTAGTGAGATCAATCCATAATTGCAAACACAAAGTCGCAAAATAGAGAACTATAGTGATTCATAACGTATCATAACCATCAACTTTATTCTGCAGAAAACTGTAGTTATAACATTCAAGAAAACATTGAACACCAACTCCCACTGAACTAAGGCAATATCCATAGTAACACTTATATGCGCGGTATACTCATAAAATACTTCAAGTGTTAATACCTTAGTATACCTTATAATGGAGCTATGAATTTGCTAGCATAAATTCATCCTTATGTGTTCAATAAAAATTCATCAACATGAATTTTATCCTTGGCAACAAGAAACTTTATGAACAATTTTTGTTGCTGAAAAATGGCAAACTAATATTATCACAATAAACTTTAGCGGTATTCAATATCATCCGCAACATGCAACATAGTGATAATATTATGCAACCATAACCTTTTGCCTTATAAGATGCCTTCAGAAAAGCTAAATCTCAATTGCTAAAGAGGAATAAACTTAAGTGTCTGCTTGGCACTTTCCGAATTAGTTCTTCCAACTAGCAGTTAATGTAGCTTGACTTAAATTTGGATCCTTTAACTTTACAAACATCTAATAAACTCAAAATTAGAGTTTTAAATGATCTCCCAAATGATCCAATAATCCTTAAGTGAGTATTAAACTCTCTTTTGTCCACAATCAAAATTTTATTAACCCCTTGGTTGCATTCAAAAGGTTAATAATCAATATTCAATCATTTGTCAGATAATTACATGTATGTGAAATTCAAATACATACATACTTGAAAATACAAAAGATTACCAACCATATGTATATCTTTTGTCTATTCTAAACTTTAGACTCAGTCTTGGGACAATGAATAAGATAGATAACTTAAGTTTTCTTAAGAGTATCTACTACCCAACCTATAGAATATACAATTATTAACTTTATTTATCTCAATACAAAATGAGATAATGACTTAATATAATTGTAATACCGTAGAGGGAGTTAACTTAATATCAAATACTTCAAAATGATATAGATTACAAAAAGTTTCTCATCAAAACTAAAAGAAAAGCCTCTTGTAACCAAAATCATTATTTAGATGAAAATTATGTTGACTAGACATACCTTATGTCTCTCATTATTGTCTTTTAAATCCATTAAGCTACATTTATGACCAATGAGACTCATACTTATAGACAATTTGACAAGACCTCAAAATGTCAGTCCACACATAATTTCATCAAAGCTTCATGTATACTTATTTGAGGTGGTTGAGTTTGAATTTTGGGACCATATTTGCATTTCTAAAAAATGCTTTATAACACTATTCTTTTT